AAAGAATATAGAAAACGTCACGGATTATATAGATGTACATATACGAGATACCTAATAAAAATTAGTTTTGGCGAAAAGTGTGAGAATAGAAACGAATTAAGGGTCGTGTAATGGTATTAGTCTTATGTGTCAGCCTTTTCTTCAGCCCGTGATGCTTGCTAGGAATCTAACTCATCATTGTCACTCATTTCTTATTTATTTTGTTTTATTTTCTATATTTTCTAAATACAATTAATGTAATCTTTTCTTCTTTAAATAAAATACACTACATATTTTTCTTCTCTTTTTTTTTTTGAACAAACACATATTTTTCTTCTCTTATGCGTTTAGATTATTATGTAAATGTTGAAGAGTGTAGATATTGTTGGTTTGCTCACCTTAACATTTTCATTAGGACGTTTCTAATATTATTTTTTTGACGTTCTTATGTTCGAATGCTTTTGAATCTTCTTTTTTTTTTTAATACAAAAACAGTTTGGATGGAGTTTTTTTTTTATATCTAAATCTATATTTAAAAACTTACAAAATTAATTACTAAAACACCAAAATTATTTTTTTAACCACTTGTAATATTTTTGGCTAGATTAAATTTTTTGCATTGATGTAGCGAAATTAATATTTTGCTTTGGAACAACAAAAATAATTGCGAAATCGTTTTTTTACACTAGTAATAATTAGATTTTTGATTATTGAAATTTGAAAACATTGGTTGATACGAATCCACTTTTCAGTTCTCTCAAATCCTATCTCACGCAAGTGTTTCTGGCGAATAACCAGAGAAACAATTGTTTGTTAGTGCTTCGTTTTTATTCAGGTATATAGTGATTGATTGATGTCATAGAAAGTGCTATTGGATATAGTTCTTGTGATTACATACTAAAAGATTCGTCTTTGACATCAAATGCAAATTGCTACTATTTAGTGAGTCACAAACTCATTCAAGAAGAAGATTGAACTAAGAGTGCTTGGTTAACACTGGTTAAATCTTAGTTACTCGGTTTAACTAAACCGTTTACAATCAAACACTCTAATACCAAAGATGAGGCTCACTCTCCGGTCTCCATGGCTCTTTTGCTGTATCTAAACGGCTAAACCTCAATAACAACAATTAGCATGTGATAAGGCTTTGTGTGTATACTACATAACATCGGGTTGCAATCTTAAAGCTAAGTTTCCTGTCTAAATTGACCAAATCATAAACTTTTCAACAGTGTTCTAAAATACGGTTTGTACGGCCGTATATACGCTGTACGGTGGAAAGCCGTACTGTATTATAGCTATACAATTGTTTAATACGGTGAAAGCTATACGGTCCGCATATACGGCGATTATACGGCGTATATACGATGAAATTCGTATATACGACGCTTTTTTTTAAAATACTTAAAAACAAAAACTATGTCATTTTATTAATGTGGAGAAAAATGATTTTAACAAAATTATTAGTTTGGCTCTCAAAAAATTAATCATAATAATTAATTATAAAATAACTTAATTATCATTCTTTTCTATTATTTTTATGCTTATTAGTTATTTGAAATTTTAAAAATATTTTGTAAAGTTGAAAATTTGAAATTTTTTTTATTCATGTATAGTATTCATTTTGTTACTATATTTATGTTTTATTGTTATTATATATATATATATATATATATATATTTAATTAAAAATATCCACCATATAGTCCGCATAAACGGCCGTATATACATCTATACGCTATATGGTACTCCACCGTACGCCTAGCGTATAGCGTATTTTAGAACACTTCTTTTCAATGACTCGGGTCTCCTTCGCATTTAATAGATAGTTAAATGTAGGCCTGGGCATTCGGATTTCAAATCGGATTCGGATCGGATATATTCGGATTCGGATAATTCGGGTATGAGAGTTTATTATCCGTTCGGATTTTATGATTTTTCGGTTCGGTTTCGGTTCGGATATATTCGGATTCGGATAATTTGGGTAGGAGAATTTATTATCCGTTCGGATTTTATGAGTCATCGGTTCGGTTTCGGTTCGGATAGGTGTCGGATTCGGATCGGTTTTTGGGAAAAAAAAAACTTAAAAATAGTTCAATGTTAATAAAAATTGGTTTAATCTTACTAAAGTTTGGTTAAATTTTGCAAAAATATGTATAATTTTAACAAATATAACTAAAATTTTTCCGAAATCTAGGATATTTAGGATATTTTTGTTATTTGCTATAAAATTACAACTAAATATAACTAATATTTTTGGATATATAATTTTTATTTCCGGTTTTCAGATATCCTTTCGGTTTTCGGTTCGGATCGAGTTCGGTTCGGGTAATTCGGATAGGAAAATTCATTATCCGTTCGGATTTTGTGACTTTTCGGTTCGGATTCGGTTCCGGATTTTTCGGATCGGTTTCGGATTTCGGGTTTTATGCCCAGGCCTAGTTAAATGTACAAAACTAGCCACAATGATACTATTATGAGATTTGACACAGAATGATTCTGATCTCCAGACCTTTTCGAATTTTCAGGTCTGTTTTCGATCTATGATAAGTTGAGTAACTGCAAAGTTGGTTCAATATTCACAAATTGTCTGCGTTTATAAACGAGAATCAAAGAACAAATGTCGAATTTGAAATCAATATAAAATACAACATTGATCAAACCCTATTTACACTATTTACACAAGCAAAGCTAGTAATTTAGAAAAGAGTCTCGCACAGTAAAGACAAACCCAAAGATAGTTGCAGATCGTCTCCGCTTCCATCACATCAGATAGACCTCTTATACGTTTCAGAGAGCCCTAAGAACAACCTTGCTGGTCGCATGAACACCCTTAGCAGCTATCTTCAGCGCACCACGAGCTTGGTACAACCTGAAAGCAAACGCCAAAACACTACTTCACTCAATCGAAATATTTGTTTTTCAACATCTCGAGATCATTAGCAGAAAGCAGACATACCCTCCAAATGCAAGTCCCCAAGTGGACAGTGTGTAGAACATTTTCCCAGCATGCCATATATCCACTACCTTCCCTACCTTGCTCAGAGCAGTAACTTCTTGGACCAAAACTGCAAAATTAAGCCGGTCGATAAGCCACGTAAACAAACTAGAAATTACCGGTAAGATTGGTGACACAAAGCTAATAGTAACCCCGAGAATACCGCTAATTCTTCCCACTTTTGTGATTATTAACAACTATATAAAGCAGTATACTCGGGGTTATCAACCAAACTCTATATAAAATACTCAAAGATATATCAAGCTAAATTCTAAACTTACGTTTCTGAAGCTCGTCAGGTTTGAGATTCTGCAATTGGAAAGTAATAGCCAAGTGAATAAGAGATCTGAAGTAAGTGAAAATCCGAAATTGAAGCTAACGATACGAATACAATACCTTAGCTTTGGGATTTGACATAATACATTTAGCCAAGAAGTGAGCAACAGCATCAATCACATGTTCTTCATTCACAACAATGTAATGATCATTATCGATCGCGCTTTGTTCCTCGACATTACTAGGAACCATATCATCAGTAACCAAAACCCACCAACTTGGCTCTTGATGATCCATCTCTATAAGAACTTCAACAGTTTTCACATCATCTTCTGAAACAAATAAACCCATCAACACAATTTCTTCTAAACCTTCAAAATCGAATTTCAAAATCATCGTAAAAATTCGATAAACACACACCTGTTGGTTCCTTGAATGGAAATTGATTTTGCGTTCCATTAGATAAAGCTTGTCTTAGTTTCTCTAATCTAGCCAAGAAATCTTTCGAAGTAACCATTGATACAAGCCGAGCATAGAGCTGATTTTGAAATTTCAACAAATTTGTTAACAAATCCCAAAAAAATTCGATTGAAATTGAATTTGGTTTCATGCTTACGTCGCTAGGGCAATCATGAGATAACGCAGCAGATTCAGCGAGAGTCTCAAATAGCTTAAGATTCGCTTCAAGCAAAGTCCTAAGACGACGATTCTCTTGTCGAAGAGCTTCTAATTCACGATCTCGTGGATCGGTAATCGGATTCGTTGACTCGTGATTCTCGTCATGGTGGTGGTGGTGATGATGGTAGGTTTCCACGGCGGTCCAAGCCACGTCGGCTACTTCTAGCACCGTCTTCGTCACTTCGATCGCGTGGTGGCTCGTCATGGTTTTTGATCTTCTTCTTCTTCTTCGCCGTATCTGGATATGATAAATTCTGATTTACGGATTTTTCCAAGGAAACTACTTGTCGTTTGCGTGTTTGGAAACGACAAGCAAGCTTTATATATTAATTACATTAATACTTTTTTAGTTTCTTATTGCCAAATACGCCCTTCTATACTAAGGTATTTCAGATTTCTACCATACTATTAGACTTCTTGACGTTTTTGTTTTTCTTTGGTAACGTCTTGCCGTTTTAAGTTTTGTTTTGGATAAAGCTTGCCGTTTTCTTTTCTCGCTGAGGTTTTACATTATCGAGGACATTTCTAATTCTAAGAGCATGCACATAGTTGAGTATCAATAACAATTTTTTAGTATTAATTATAATATTTATTTATTGTTTGAGATTTTTTATGATACTGGTACTAAATATGTTTCTATTGGTGAGACTGGTTTAAGTATCATAAAAAAAAAAATTATTTGCAAAATCGAAAATAAATATATAAAAACATAAGATTACAAAAGGTAATATTACAATAAATAAAAATGTAGAATATACTTAAGCAAAAAAAAAAACTCTGAAAGAAGCCTAATATAACAATTAAATAATAAATTCTTTAAAATCACTCAAATTTTCTTTTTAGAATGACAATCATGCATGTATTGTAGATTTGAACATCAAGTAAAACATATATATTAAGTTAAGAAACTTGCTGGTACTAAGATAGTCTTGTCTCTAATCTTGTGTTTATGAAGATGACATGATCTACTCTGTTTATTTTTGCTTGCTTTCATTAAACAGTTTTGTTTATGTATCGAATGCTCTGCTTTTGGATTTTGGTGCATCTCCGATGTCCATAAACACATTAAGGATGCTATAGAACATTTATTTCTTATTGGAAATATTATAACAAGTTTTGCATATTACATTATACCAACATATATAAAGAACAAAATATTTGAAAAACAGACACAAAGAAACAAAAGCACAAACTCATATCTCAAACTCTCTCCCCTTTCCATCTTCATCTTTCTTCTTTCAGAGTCTTGAGACATTGATAGGGTAGAAAAGGGCAGCAACAAGCCCCTTATTTTGTTTATTCATAATCATATTGACAAGAGTTTAACATAAAAAAGGAGACAAAGCCACCAGGAAGATGTAGAGATATTAGGATATTACTGACTCAAGAAAGTAGGCAGAGAGATACCTGCAAACACCGAACATATCGTTTGGAGAAGCCTAAGTCACTGAGTGAATGTGACTCCAAGCTTTTTGCTAGTTGACGTCCAGCAGTCATGACCTTGGAGCAAAAGACTTGGCATCAGCACATCAAGATTTAAGCTAAAATCGCTTTGATCTTCTTTGCATCAATGAAAAAATCTTACCTAATTACCGTAGAAGATACAAGACGGCTCATACACTATCCCATAAATTTTGTCAACCATCTCTACACAAACCAAATGAACTCTCTACACATCAGTTACAATAAACAATAAAGTAAACACACACATAGTAAAAGGATCCGTTCCGGCAGATAAATCGAAATTTCATTCAATCAATCATACAATGTAGCATAAATATGTCACAAAATCTAACTGCAATGACATTATAAACTAAGAAATGAATCAAATTTACCTCAATTTCCTATCATCAACCAAGAGAATCAATCTAATGTATCAATGTTCCAATCAATCTTAGAGAAATAATGAACTCACAGTTGCGACGACATTGATCTGATGAGATGATTGCAACTCATCGACATCTAGACCTCCGCTATTTTGAGGAACGTCACCATCTCCGATATAATTTTCATCAGGCGACTGCTAGGATCGAAGAGATGAAGCCGGAGGAGAAACGGAGGGAGCGAAGGCAGGATCGGGAAGGAAGAATCGGCGGAGGATAGGAGAAATCGAAAATCGCCGGAGGGTTTCTAGGTTTTCTCGCAGTGAGAGAAGAGAGGAGAAGAATCGAGAAGGAAGTGATTTTTTTTTTCTCGGCTTCAGCCAAAAACGCGTTTTTGCTCACCAATAGAATGCTGCCACGTCACCTGATACTCAGTATCAGAAGTATCACTGTACTGATACGTATCAGGCCCAAATTCATGTTTTGATCCATTAAATAATAATTATTGGGCTCCTGATACTCAAATTAATTCACCTATGTGGATGGTCTAACTGCTCTTTAGGATTTTAATCTCTTCATCTTTTTTTCCTCCAAACATAATTCTAAAAACTCTTCACTAATTGTTATTATTCTCTTTTCTGCTCAATATTTTTAAAAACTAATTTTACCTTTCCTTTACTCTTATGTAAATTTTATCACCAACAAACTATTAGAAGCAACTAAGGTTGAACAAAAAAACTGGACCCGATATCTGAACCGTACTTAGACCGAAAAAATCGGTTTGGAGCGGGTTAGGATATGAGAAAATTATTTCATTGGATAAAGTGTTGGTATACCCGTCGGCATCGGTCCAGGTTGAGATTACCCATTACCCATACCGGATACCCATAAATCCGAACATATAATTAAATACAAAAATATTAATTATATTTAATCTTAATATAATCTAATTATCCAAAATTTCAATACTAAATCTAAATATGTCAATTAACTTTATACCTAAATACCCAAAACAACCAAACTATCCAAAAATTATATGTTATGTTTGTCAAAATTTAGCAAAATGTATACAAATATAACTATATTTATTAAAATTTAACAAATTAAGGTTTTTTTTCGGGTACGCGATATTTTACGTACAAAATACCCGAATCGAAAGGATACCAATTTTTTTTGGGTATTTAATTATAGGGTCTAAATTTTTTTACCCAAACCGATTGGTCCCGACCTGGACTGGAATCGAATGTTTAGAATTACCATATTGGATAGTAAACTCAATACCCATTAAATCTGAAACCCGAACGGGTTACCCATAGTCCCATATGCCCAGGCCTAGAAGCAACCAATGACTTTGTCTCCCCCATTCCACAAAAAAAAGCAACCAATGATAATCATTCTCTCTCTCTTCTCTCATTAACAACAATTTTTTTTTTCTTTTTGAGATTTTGCAACCTCCAAACCCATATCTCCTCTTTTCTTCTTCTTCATCCACCACTAATTAAGGTAGTTTTAGTTTGTTTTTTTTCTTTCATATTCCCTAGATTAGCAATTTGACAAAAACTTCATTAGATATATCATTAGTGTTGGTGTCAGATCCCGCACCAGAAGTCCGGGACCAACCAAAGATTGCCACGTAGACAGGATAACGACCCATAAAGGATAAAGCCCATTAGACCCACAAGTCAAAAGAACAGTCGGAGTGGTTGTCAACGTGAAGAGAGTCCGAAGTGACTGCACCTCGACACGAGTCCGGAGACGAAGTCATGGTTAAGTCGGTCTTAAGGACATTTGGGCCAAAAGGCGAGGCCCATAAAAATCAGAGTCAACTCAAATTCATACGTTGAGCATTAAAGTCAAAGATCAAAACGGACACATTTAAGAGGGAATAATTGTACTTAATTATTCATTTTAATGTCGTTTCTCTATGTATAAATATAAAGGCCAATGGCCATGTAAAGGGGATCTTCCTCTAGAGAAAGAGATACTATAGCAATTTTCGTAGCAATTCATAAGTTTTTACATATTCATTTTTGTCCCTCAAGAGTAATCTTTCCTACTTAATAAAAATACTTGAGTGTGTGAATCCGACATCCACATTTTGGCGCCGTCTGTGGGTACAGAGGATTCTTGAGTGGTCAGATTTTTTCTTTACTACATTTCCGAGATAAGCAACAATGTCCGGAGGAGACGCCGTTGAGACATCATTGGCCGAAACCCTCAAAGCTATGCAGCAAACCATGTCGGACATATCACAAAAGTTCTCGGATGTGGAAAAGGCCGTCGATACGTTGCAAACGTCCCAGGTATCTCTTAGTCAAAACGTCAATACTATACAAACTCGTGTTCGCTCTTTAAGTGCAGGAAATCCTGTGGGAATCCGAAGGAGGATACTCAACTCGCCAAGCTCCGTTGCGCGAAATGAAACCAGCGGAAAAACAACTCCTGGTGCTACTAATAATGTAGTTCAACCATCGGATGGAGAGGCACAGCTCGAAGATGAAGTTCAACTTGCAGATCAATACGAGCAGGAAAACCTCGACCAGTTCGAGACCATGAGGAAGGTTAGCCAAGAACTAAAAGAAATGAAGTCAAAGTTCCATCAAGCTACGAGTTCGGAGCCAGACATCAATCGAGTCATTGAAGAAGCTAGGCGAACACCTTTCATCTCGCGAATTGCGAGTTTGAGAATCAAAGATTCTCGAAAACTCAAGTTGGACCCTTACAGCGGGTTGGAGGATCCAAAGAGCTATCTCGCAGCTTTTCTGATCGCTGCTGGAAGAGTCGAATTGGATGAAGCTGATGAGGATGCAGGTTACTGCAAGCTTTTTTCGGAAAATCTATGCGGTCAAGCTTTAATGTGGTTCACCCAATTAGAGCCGGGTTTGATCAGCAATTTCGACGAGCTATCTGCTGTATTCTTAAAGCAATATTCCATCCTTATGGATAAAAGCGTTTCGGATGCCGATCTTTGGAACTTATCACAAGGATCAAATGAATCACTTCGAGTTTTCATCACCAAGTTCAAAGGAGTGCTGTCAAAGCTCCCAAGAATCTCGCAACAATCAGCTTTATCTGCCTTACGAAAAGGATTGCGACATGATTTGAGATTTAAAGAAGATTTAATACTTCATAAACCAGACAAAATTCAGGATGCACTCTTCCGCGCAAACAACTGGATGGAGGTAGAGGACGAAAAAGAAAGTTTTGCCAAAAGAAATAAGCAAGAGAAGCCGGCAATCACCGTCCCTACCAAAAAGTTCGAACCCAGGGAGAACAAAGGACCAAAGAAATTTGGGTCGCAACCCTTCAACAGTACCGTCGGAAAGCAATTCCAAGGGAAAGGAAGATCAAACACTTGGGTCCGTGATGAAAGTCTATATTGTGACATTCATAAAGTAACCGGACATTTAACCAAGGATTGTAGCGTTCTTAAAAGACACCTCGCAGAGCTTTGGGCCAGTGGAGATCTTTCCAAATTCGATATAAAAGATTTTGTGAAGGAATACCACGAAGCAAAGGAAAGTTCCAAAGATCAAAATTCCAAAAGACCAAGGTTAACCAACGAGGAAGAACCAAGGAATTGTAAGGGTAAGATCAATGTTATTCTAGGAGGTTCCAAATTTTGCGGAGATTCGATAAGTTCCATCAAGAAACATAGACGAAATGTCCTACTCAAAGCAAGCTTAAGCGAAGAAGTCGATTTTCAAGGTGCATCAATATCATTTAATGAAGAAGAAACGCGGTACCTCGAAAGACCTCATGATGATGCTCTAGTCATTACCCTTGATGTTGCCAACTTCGAAGTATCAAGGATCCTTATAGATACAGGCAGTTCGGTCGATTTGATCTTTTTAAGTACTTTAGAAAGAATGGGAATTAGTCGGGCGGACATAGTGGGGCCTCCGTCTCCATTAGTTGCATTCACAAGTGAGTCAGCCATGTCTCTCGGGACAATCAAGCTACCGGTCCTTGCCAAAAAGGTATCGAAGATCGTGGACTTCGTTGTCTTCGATAAGCCCGCAGCTTACAACATCATCCTCGGGACTCCCTGGATTTATCAAATGAAAGCAGTCCCCTCTACATATCATCAATGTATCAAATTTCCAACATCAAGAGGAGTGGAAACAATTCGGGGAGATCAAGAAGCTTCACGGACGTGTTATCTAGCTAGCCACCGTATGAAGATTTAATAGCAATCAATGAAGCCCGCAAAAGAGGGACTAAGAACAAAATTTCCTAGCGGGCAGAAGAAAGACGATGTAGTAATCGAAGTGGTGTTGGAAGAAGACAAGCCGGACCGGAAAATTCGAATTGGGGCAACTTTGACTGGCCAAATAAAAGAAGCTTTGATTGAACTCTTAAGGAAAAAAAAAACATCGTTTGCATGGTCAGCAGCGGACATGCCTGGCATAAATCCAAGTATAATTTGTCATGAACTAAATGTGGATCCAAGCTTCAAACCGGTGAAACAAAAAAGAAGAAAGCTTGGAGTGGAGCGAGCAAAAATAGTAAATGACGAAGTGGATAAACTTTTGAACATAGGGTCCATAAGAGAAGTGCAATATCCGGAATGGGTAGCAAACACTGTCGTTGTCAAGAAGAAAAATGGGAAAGATAGGGTTTGCATCGACTTCACAGACCTCAATAAAGCATGTCCCAAAGACAGTTTCCCGCTCCC